TGACACGTGTGACTTGACATACAGTTTTTTTGCTTATTATATTTTAGTATTTTATCATTTTATATTGATTGTTGCATATACACATGTATATATATTGTGATGTCCTTGAATCTATGCAATGGGAATCAGATCATGATGAGATCACGATAATGAGACTGATTCACCTTTAAATACATACCTTAAATAATCCTGATCACATGTTACTCAAGAGGGACATCGAGATAATCGGATAGACTGGTATGCTGTATACCCATCCATATGATGGATGCAGCTGGTCTCATGGCTGCTCATGTGGGGACACTAGGGATACAGTACAAATGCTCATTGGAGAATGAGTTTACTGATTGATCCGCTTATTGAATGCTAGATGGTTGATTATGTCTTATTGTCATACAATGATTCTGTAGTCCTAGTGGCATATCTGGTCCTTAGACTTGAGATACCAAGGATATCCTGTATGAGTACTCCACTCTTTGATGTCAGATTTATAGGTCTGAAGGTTTCAGATCTAGCACAACCGATCATCGGGAGTGGTAGCCAATCTTACGAGAACTATTGAGTGCCGATAGAGGATCATTCATTCTCAGTGTCATATGAAGAATATCCCATGTGTTCTTACTTAGACAAATCTCTAGCTAGAGTCATTCAGATTAAAAGAGAAAGAGTTCATAGGGAGAATCCGATTAGAATGAGACTCGAGCAGAAATCGTATGGGTCTGACAGCACCATGCTCGATATACGATCTCTAGGATATTAGATGGATGAGAGACTATAGGTATATGATAATTGAGGATAGACGGGTCTAATGGATTGGATTCTCTTATATCATCTGGGGACTACGCTATCCGCAATCGATGAGTTGAGTGAATTATTATGGAGATAATAATTCACTAAGCCAAAAGGAGTTCTAATAGAAATAACTCATGGCCAGCTCGATATTGGGCCTAGAGAGTCATACACATATGGTAGGCATTGCGATGAATAGAGGTTTAGATATAAGATATCTACTGGAGCCCCTACCTTATTTAATATCCAATAAGCCCATAAATTATTGGATCTTATGGATGAGATCCAATAAGAGCAATTGAGAGATTATTGGATAAATATCCAATAATATAAGAGGCTTAGGTAGTTGGATGGAGATCCAATACCCAATAAGGAAGGATCCATTAGGGTTAAGTTGATAGCGGACCTCTATAAATAGGAGGGAACCAATGGTTCATATGCTCCATTAAGGTTAAGTCATTTTGGGTTACCTCTTCTATTCTCCTCCTCTTCTCCTCAAATAACAGGCTTAGAGTTTTGAGGAGCATTATCGCAGCCCTACTCTGTGGATCACTACTAGAGAGGAGGACGCTTGACCTCCTTTACCCTCTCCTAGATCTCTATAGGGATTCAGGGATATACAATCTCTTTAGGTAACACAATCTTTAATATGCGTAGTTTTAAGTTTCACGGATTTTACGCATCAATCTTCGCATGATGACACACATAATTTATGAGAAATTTGAGGATTTTGTTTTTATATTCTTCTGTTGCGTATGTGATGTTGCCCCCAAATTTTTCAACACCTTAGATAATGATCATCAGATTGGTTGAAATGGTGTTAAGAACATCTATTGTCACTAGTTGGATAAATAGTCTTAAAAGAGGCTAGTCTTCTATTTCAAGCCCACATTACTTTGGGATATACCGTTGGAAAATTGTGGGTCGGTATCCCATGCATAGTGGAAAATAAAAATAAAATCAAATTTCCTAAAATCAAGTATTTGGTAGTGATGTGACAATTGGTGTGCGAGAATACTACAAAACTAAAAAATTACACATATCATATTATAAGTGTTACCTAGGGAGACCGTATATCCCTTAAATTTTTAGATCCAATAGAGTCGATGAAAGAGAACTCAGTACTCCTCTCTAGTGGTGATCCACACAACGGACACAACGGTAATCCAATGGAGTAGATCGTTGTGGGTTCTTCCTCTCCACGTGCACCACAAGGCAATCAGAGCCAAGGAGGAGAAGAGGAGGTTGATGAGAATAGGAGGGGCAACTATCATAAATTCTAACCTATGAACCGTGAGGTTTCTCCTATTTATAGAGGTGTAAGTAGCTTAATGCTTAATGGATCCTATCCTCATTGGATCTCTTACCAATTATCTAATTGAATCTTTATCCAATTATCCAATTGGATCTTATCTAAGGATCCAAACTAGGGACTCCACAGATATCTTATATTTGCATCCCTACTCGTCATAATATTCACCATATGTGTATGACCCTCTAGGTCTGATACCGAGCTGGTCGTGAGTTGATCCTGTCATAACTACTTTTGACTTAGAATTACTTCTAACTCAGAACTCCTTCTAATATAGTGAATTATTATCTCCATAATAATTTACTTAACTCACTAACTATGGACGTACTAGGCCACTACGCCATAGTCCCTACACGGTACAAGAGATCTATCTAACGGACTTATTTATCCTTAGTTATCGTATATCTATAGTCTCTCATCCATCTAATATCTCATAGATCATATATTGGGCATTGTAATATCAAGCCCATACGGAATCCTATTTGAGTCTTGCTCTAATTGGATTCTTTCGGAGAACTCCTACTTTCTCAATCCGAACGACCCTAGCTAAGGATTTTGTCTGAGTGAGCATACATGGGATATTCCTCTTGTAATATTGAGAGTAAACGATTCTTTTTTTATACTCAATTACCTTTGTAAGGTTGGCTACCATTCCCGAGAACTAACTATACTATATCTGGAACTTCCAAACTTGTAAATCCAGTTTCAAAGAATGGAGTACTCATATAGAGTATCTTTGGTATCTCAAGTCTAAGGACTAAATATACAATTAAGACTACGGAATCATTGTCTCACATCAGGTATCATTAATCATCTAGTATTCCATAAACAGATCAATTAATGAGCTTATTCTCTAATGAGCATCTGTACTGTATCTCTAATGTCCCCAAACGAGCGACTATGAGATAAACCGCCTCCATCATATGGACGAGTATATAATGCACTGGTCTATTTGGTTATCTCGATGTCCTTCTCGAGTAATCTATGATCAGGATGATTTAGGGTATGTATTTAAAAGCGAATCGATCTGATTATCGTGTTCTCATCATGATCCGATTCTTATTATACAAATCCAAGAACATCATAATATATATCCAGATAATATACGATAAAATACCAATAATAATAAGCAAAAAAATCGTCACAACATATCAGATGATTGACTTATAGGGCTCCTATAACTAACCTATACAACTTGCATTAAATTGAAAATATCCTCAAGTACCACATAGAATTAAAAAAACAACCCTCTCTCGTGGCACAATATAATTCTACTGACCCCAAAACTTATTTTTAGAAAGTTCAGGAAAATTCTCTCCTCTTTTCTAACTTCTCTTTCTCCTTAGAAAAGCTCTATTTGGAAAACTTGTTGACTTGAGTGGGGGACACCCTCAACGCACCTCTGATGTGTTATTTCAAGAATCGAACAAAAACTCTTTTCAAGATCTTTCTTATGTGTTATTCCATATTATAGCAGTAGCTTAACCAACTAATAAATTTGGTCGACTCTGCCCTCTCACTGTGAAATGGAGATGACCTTCATCTGATGTCATTAATCCTATCAACCTGTCAGTGAAATCATTTGAAGCACTATTTATTTGGTCATGTTAGATAAAAATATTCTAAACCTTATATGGCAATCAACCTTTTTATACGAAACTTCTCTATATAAAATTTAGTCTATCATGTAACTTAATAGAATAGATGACTCACTATTTTTATTTTACTCTATATAAACTTTAGTCTATCATGTTACTTAATAGAATAGATGACTCACTATTTTTATTCTAGGTAGGTAGAAGGAGAGACAGTAGATCAACCAAAGAGAACCCTCCCTGCCTCTCTATGCTCGTGCTGTCTCCTTACTATGTCATTTCTTGTCTTCTCTCTTAGGGTGCAATTAAAAAATAATATCATTTTTTATGATTATTTTCTTTATTGATTGGTCTTTGGTAGAGGAATTTTTGTATTTTTTTTATCTTCTTTGTGATTCCCTTTTTCTCCTCTCTTTTTCTCCTTTTTGTTTCGTTTTCCCTTTTCTCTTTTTTCATAATTTTAGAATTACGCTATAGGTATTCTCCTTAATCGAAATAGGTTGTTCCTTCCCTTAGAATCATACTTGCAATGAGTTTCCTATCTTATATGGTTTGGCATTTGATTTGTTTTACCTGCGTCCCATCTTAATCCACATATAAAAGTTTTAATATACCACTCCATGACCGGAGGAATAAAAAATCCATCGACCAAACCAACCCTAAGAAAGGATTAAAAAAGGAAAGTTGTAATCTAGACAGTTGACTTATTGGTCGTATATCATATATAGCATGCTTGCTAGCTTCAGTAGCACTCTTTTCCTTTTTGCAAGGAAAATTAGTTTCCTAATTCTAAAATCTCTACTTTTCAAAAATCTTTCTAACTAAACTTTATTTATTTAAAATATTTTTCTTTTTTGGGGATATTAAACAGTAAATATTGGTGCAAAAATGTTCTATTGATATAGTATAGTCGAAGAAGAAGAGGTAAAAGGATAAACGTATTGATACTTTATTTTTAGAATATATATTATATTTCTAAAAAAAAATTGCTCAAACCCCTACGAATAGGGATGAAGTAAGCCTTATTAAAATGATTATGATTGGTTTGGACATTTTAACTATCCCCAAACAATTAGGGACAAGCAGTAACACAAGGATTCAAAACGTTCAGCTCTTGCTATGGTATTGTCTATGGTACTGTAATAGAGGTTTAGCTGTTGCAAAATGATCTAGAAGCTGATGCTCACTCAACCTGAACATTGATAATATATGTTGCCAGTTCATGTTTCAATATTTATAGATTCGTTTCCAAATGGTCGTGAATTTGTTCCTGCTATCCTTTTTCCATCTGTTCTTGTCAAAAACAGATAGATTAATCCTGTGGAAACAAGTAGAAGATGAATACTGTAGAGGAGGCCGCTGTGATAGCTCTGGATATGGAATGGGTAAGACTCTTGGAGAAGAGGGTGGAGGACACACAGTGGGGGGAGGAATGGCGCACCAAGCGGCCGACCATCTACAGAGTCCCAAACCACATCCGAGACAGTGATTCCGACGCCTACGACCCGATGATCGTCTCGATCGGTCCCTACCACCATGACAAGCCTCGCCTGCAAGCCATGAACCACATCAAATGGCACTACCTCAAGCAATTCCTGGGCCGAAACCCTCACATGGGCCTGGCAGACTACCTTTCGGAGATCAAGGATAAAGAGCGCGACATACGCATGGCCTATTCAGAACAGGTGGACAAGAGCAGCAACGATTTCCTCCAAATGATGTTGCTTGACGGCTGCTTTGTGATCGAGATGTTATTGTACTGGAAAGGTCAGGGAGGACTGGAAGCTGCGCAGAATCCAATCACACGCCCATCGTCCCTAATGGTAGTAGCGAGGGATATGTTGATGCTGGAAAACCAGCTCCCTTTCTCTCTCCTCCAGACTTTATTGGACTCTGCTATTCCTGACCGGTCTCCTCAGCTAACAGGTCTTATGATCAACTTTCTTGATGGCTGCGTGGATTTCAAGATTCAAATTCCGTCCCGGAGCGTGGATTTTCACCACATCCTTCATCTTCTTCATTCTCGCGTTACCCCACCAAAGAAGCTTGATAAGATGAAGAGCGAGTCATCCGACTCCAACCGCTCCTTACAGTGGATGAACAGGTTATGCTGCTGTGGAGAAGATCCGGAGGTGACGGACGAGCCCGTTTCCCTGCTGGGATGGATTCCGAGTGCGACAAAACTCAGGGAGGCTGGAGTCCACTTCAGGAGGAAGAAGGAGGCGACGAGTTTCCTGGACATCAGCTTTAAGAATAAGAAGATGGAGATCCCCCAGCTTCAGGTCGATGACGGCACCAACGCACTCTTCAGGAACCTCATCGCGTTCGAGCAGTGCTACGACGAGGTCAGCTCTCATGTCACGGCCTACGCGTCGCTCATGGATTGCATCGTCGACACCGCTGCAGACGTCGCGTTGCTCCAGAAATGTGGAATCATCGTCAGCGGCTTGGGCGACAGCAAAGAGATCGCCCTTCTCTTCAACAAACTCTGCAAGGAGGTGGCGATCAACGACAACGAGTGCCATCTTTCGAGCATCTTCAGGGACGTCAACAAGCACTGCAACACCAGATGTAACAAATGGCGGGCAACATGATTACTTCGGTAATCCTTGGGCGATCGTCTCACTGTCTGCAGCTATCTTCCTCTTCGTCCTCGCTATAACGCAGACCATCTTAAGGATTATAACCTTTGTTCGGCATCATAATTAGTCTCCTCATTTGCTTCTCCAGCTACTTCCATTGTTTCTATGAATTCTCCAAGAGTGTATTCCCTAAAGCAAAACAGTGTGTCTTTCAAATGCATGGATTTGTATTGGAGACCGACATGTAAATCTAAATGATGTATATTATCAGGCAATGGAGTCGATTGCATGACAAATGCAAGCCTGCAGATGCATCTTCCATAATCTTTACTTCTTGCGTCGTTCCTTCAGTGAACTCAAGATCCAGAAGCTCACGCATTTGCAGATACAGGTTATTAAACAAGTCAATCTGTAGTTAGTTATAAATGTAATGTTCATCCACAATGTAAATTGACAACTGTTCTCTAATCTTAGCCTGCTTGCCTTTGCAGGAGTGTTTTATCACCAATGTTAACATCCTTCAGTGTTGTATATATTTTGTAGGTATAAACAAGAAAGTTCAGCACCCATTACAAAAATCAGGATCCATAATAATAATAATAATAATAATAAGAGTTAAAATCATGCACTTGTGGACACTAATACTGGTGTAATAATAAAATATTTGTGAATCTTTAGATAAGATATGAGACTTTATATATATAAGATACGGGAAAAATTATCCTTTCAATTAGGCACGTGGACCAACACAGATGACAGAGTGGAACACTAATACTGCACGTAATGACAAAATTGATCGACCACGTCAACACTCAAGATCTTCTTAACGATCATTATTATGTCAGTTGTGCTGCTCCAAAACAAAACGTTACATCAGTTGCGCTACTCCAATGGCCAATACCATTTTCATCCGTCATCTCAGTGATCATTTTAACAGCAATTACCGTGAAACTACTTATGTCATATTTTTATTGATTGAGGCATGAAAGGAAACATGCCAGTCAAATATACTGAACTTTACTGATTTACCTCGACATCATATCTGGAGGTGGAGAGCTCCACTTGGGAGATAACAATACATCAAATTTTTATCCGAGATTCAGACATACATAAATAAATGAGTAGACTGAAAACAAATTTAAATACGTAACTGAACCAGAAACATTATTATGCGCCAAATCTTTCATCGTGCCGGTTAGACATTATAATGGCATCCTTGTATAGGAACACAGAGTGGGTAATATTATACATCAAGCCAATTAACAAAAAGCCTAACCATTCAGTGAGTTTTGAATGATTCGGGATTACCTTTTTCGTCTTGAGAGCGAGGATCGAGTGTCGTATAATTGATCTTCTTTTCTAGTTCTTGTCGTAGTATTTCTAGTTCTCGTCAGAGTATTTTTTTTTTTGATATATTGTCACGGACTTAGTTAGTTTTGTCTAAGTCATGCAGCACCCTTACGTGTCCATCCGCAAAGGTCAACCTCCCCAAAACCTCTTGTGATCCCTTAGAACCTATAAAAGAGAAAATAGATTAGAGAAAGCACCTCATTCGAGATCCACAAGCAGTCATTTCATGAAATACTTCGTAACCAATGCAAATAATAAACAAACTTCATAAGCTCTGAACAGTTGTACAAAAGATCCAAAATGGTTCACTATATATCGAAATCCTCATAAGTGTCCACATGACACAATCTTTATTTGCAAGCCTAGAATGACCATCAAACCCAACTAAAATTGGGATGTTAAGCCTTCGACCGTTTCTCTATATACTATGCAGAGCATGAACAAACCAAAAGACACAAACATACATGAGGATTACATTAAATACCATGTTTACAGTTTTGTCTGTGACATTTTCTCCCACTTATTCCTTTGATGTCCTCGTTGAAGCTTTTGTCGACGCTACAACTCCTCACATTTGCTGAGTCTTTAATCTTCTGCTCCAACTACAATACGCCTCCTGGCTCCCAACTACACTTTGCCGCTGTTGTTGAGTAGTCAAATTTTTGATCCGCTATGTTGCTTCAACTCGCTAATGACTCTGACTCTAGTGTGAGGTTGGTTGAGTCGTGTTGATCCCTATTGATTCTTATAGGTCCTTTAGATGAAGGAAAAGACTATCCTTACTATGCACTAGTCTCTCAAATGCCTCATATTGCTTGAACTGGGTGAATGCTTGTTGGAGCTTTAACAAGCATCGCCTTACAAACTTTTGAAGTTTTTGGGTCATTCCTCTATAAAATTTGCCCATCGCCTCTTTTTCACTTAGTTATCACTTCCAAGTAGGTTGCCATCACTTCTACTTTCGATTGACATTCTGTTGGGAAATGAAGTGAATAATCTACTCTTAGTAGTATTGATTACCATTGGTGAGGATTTGATAACTATTGTCTTCCATTTGGTTTCTTCGAAGGGTCTTTGAATATATGCAGAGCCCCTCTACTGGATAGATAAGAGAATTAGGTTATTTGGTTTCACCCATTCTCTTAAGAGTTGAGAAAGCAAAGGTTACTTGACTTCTCCTGCCTCCTCGAGTATTGTACTCCATGCATCGAGCTAGTTATTGGCCTTTGCTTGCTCTTTGCTTATACTTCTGAAGTATTTAAAGTGTTTGCACTCCTTGCATTGAGTTAGTTACTGTGATTCATCTTCTCAATGCCATCGAACTTCTAGAATGCAGAAAGTTTTCACCCCAACTTGGAGTAAGTCTCTAATAGTTTTGGTCGCTTCTAAGATTGTATCGTCTTTTCCATCAACCCAATCGCCTACTCCACTGAGTAGCAAAGATACAACACAGCATATTGCCTCCTTCGTTCCTTGGTCGTGCACTCTTGTATTGACCCAAAGTCCTCCACTTTTGGCTATCTTGATGAGAAGCTCGTTGACACCTATCCTACGAAGTTCCCTAGCCTCTATCATTCAGCCTTATCTCGATACTTGGAGTTTACCTCTATATTCTCCACCTTCTCGGTCCCTTTCACGACCAAACGCTCTTCCTTCATGAGAGTAAGGGATCGATGACTTCACGGAAGTCCCACCTTTGTGGTACCATGGCACTGCCATGCTCATGGCCCTACTATCCATCGACTCGCATCAGTATCCCTTTATTCATGATTGGTAGATCTGTCTTTGTGGCACTCCTCCGAGTCCACCTCCATTCTAACTGATGCTTAGTTTTGGGTAGCTAAGTCCCTATGGACTCGTCATCACTTCCTCGCCTCTTTTGACCCCTTGCTTCAACACCTTTATGTTCTCTAAGCAGTTCCTCTTGGTCAATGGAAAGACAGACTGTAACTCTTATGCATGGCCTCTGCCATCATGTTGTTGCAACGTTCGCTTACTCGGTCTTATCCTCTGACTTGCTATGATCCCTTAAGCAAATATGGGCTCTGAAGTAGTCCAACCGCTCTGACATACCTCTACATGATCAAGTCCCTCCCATGAGACTCATTGGTACTTGCATTTGAACTTTTTCCTCGGTGGTACACAGCCCCCGTATGCTAATGACTAAGGCTTTTATTCGATGCAAAATTTAATGCATGCATGGAAGACCCGCCTTTGCAGTACAATAGCTTTCACTTCTTGACTCCATAGCCCTTCTTGTCGTTGTGTTGTTCACCGAAGTGGAGCTCCTAGTAGCTCTCGATTATACCTCCATATGATATAGTCTCTCACGGGACTAGATTCGTATGTATATAATTATCACAAACTATTTCACCATGACCCTTACACCATGTCGCTTCCTGGTGACATCTCCATTGTATTCTGATTCTTGTGAGATAAACTCGGATTGTGATCCCTCCATATGTGGCTTTTGCCAATACATCACAAGGTCTCTTCCAACTTCGATTGTGTTCACTCCTTTAGCAATCGACTTTTGTCCACCCGCTCTCGGGTCACACCTAGACGAAGCACTGCTCTAGAACAGTCCGCCACCTAGTAGCTCCCAAAGTCCACCAACTTCACTGTGCCTCTGCCCTTACCAGCACAATCTTCACTATGCACCTCTTCCTTCATGACAACTTGATTGACAACATTGTAGCATATTCTTCAAGAGTACCCATCTCCATATCCTTTTGTCTTGTGCCAAAGCCTTCTAAACCCAGCTTCGCCTTCGCAAGTTGAGTCGCCTTAGTTCCTCTATCAAATGCTTCTCTGAGATAAGGTGCATGTGCCTAGAAGCTCCTTTCGTCTTTGGCACAATGCAAGATGAGTACGTTCCATCAAAATGAATGACCCATAGAATGACATGACCTTGCTCTTGCCTCTATAAGAGTTCATATCCTAGACCTTTGTCTAAGGACAACTATGTGCCTCTGCTCCATGTTTTATCTTCTATGTCAGCTCCCTTCATGCAGCTTGGGTGCTTCACCAAGTTACACCCAAGTTGCTCTGCTCCTCGTTTTGTATTGAGTTGATAGTGGCCCTTACCCCCATCATTCCACGAGTCAGCCTTTCATTGAGTCCGATCTCCATATCGACTCTAAGTGTACCTTCATCTTATGTTACCTTGGGTCGCTTCCTCACTTGATCTCGCAATGTATTCCTCTAATGCATTATCTCAAGCAAGATCATGCGATGACTCCTCGCCGCTCGCTCAGTCCATTGAGCTTTATGAAGTCGTTTTGAGGTACTCTTCCTCAACATGTGTGGTCCGTTACATATGGTTCTCCCTCTCGAGAGTCGAGACTTATCCCTCCTAGATATCTGTCTCATTGGAGCAACTTCTTTCTTTGTTTCCTTCTCTCTGAAAGTTTCGGAGACCACTATCCCCTTGGACTACTTTATCTTGCTAAACAAACTGTGCATTATTCTTCCTCTCGCAAACGTACTTGCTAGATTGTGACTCCACTTCAATATAGCGCTTGCTACACCCCTAAGACTTTGTAACATGCTAAACTCGTTGCATAATTCAGCCTCCTACGGATATATCCATCTTAGGCTGAAGGGAAAGTTTTAATGCTCCATGGCATTGAGTTTCGGTCACCTTGGGATGACCACGAACACTCCATCGTTCGCATATAAGCCCTTATATAAGTACTGAATTCTTCGAGTTAGTAATTCCTTTCACCTCTGTGAGCTTTGCACAATATTTTCAGTCGTTGGACAACTCATTCCACCTTACTTCTCATACTTTACCAAGCGTCTCTCTTGCCTTGAGTACCATCAAGTATGGTTGTCAACATTGAGCCATAACTCAAATTCAGTCATTTCAACCTTTGTGCGCTACGTATTCTTCCTAGCTTGTTTGTCCTCGTAGTGACTCTTACACAAAGAGTTGGTTATTCATTTGAATGCTAAT